TTTACTACAGAGAAAGGCTAAGAGAGGAAAAAAAAAGTTGTTTAATGCCAGAATTTGTGTGAAAAAAAGGCTTAAGGCTGTTTAAATGACACAGTTCATTTTGCTTTCACCACAGTCTAAACAGTTTTAACCACAAACTCTGACTAAGGCAGTGTGGTCTATACCATACAACTGTAGAAGTAGTACACTGCAGATCATAAAATTATTGTTTCTAATTTTTCTGGGCCTAAATCTGTCAACTGATGCTCACATCTGATAAAATCCGTGCGCTGTCACTGCTCCCAGCATACTCTTTGCAAAGGGCCTGGTAGTCATACAGTGTGATCCTGTGACACAAAAATGGGCAGCACTTACAGTCTAAAGAATATAACAGCATGCCTTTAAAGTCAGGTTTAGTGAATCAGTGTTTGTAGGAAGTGTGAAATGGGGCTCAGACCTTTTGAAAGACCCCATCTGGAGAAGTTTGTTCATTACAGCCCCCTCGACCTCTCCAAAGAAGAGCCCTGTCTGAGAGAGAAGCAATGTCAAAGCAAAAAGGCACACACTTTAAGACTTACTGTACAATATAATGGAAACACTTGACCAAAAGAGACTCAAACTTTCAAGTATTTAGGTTGCGAATAAACCTGCAGTAACTGGTGACCAGCTGGGGGCAGCTGAAACAAGTTGTGAACACACCATTGACATATCATTTACACATCCAGCAGTGACAGAGCACCATTATTGTTCATTTGGAGTTGTGTTTTCTGTCATTTGATCAATCAATATCCAATATAAATTCTCTTTTAGTTGTATTTTTGGGCTCTACCATTCCTGAGGAAAGGTCTATTTAGCTGCAGGAAGCTGCAGATTCGCTATAGTTGACCTCTTTCACATAGTATTCACTGTCATTTGATGGACTGCAACTACAAAAACAATGATTATATCTACATATTAGATTTTTTTCCAACTAATAATAAAAACAGACAAATCACATCAGCAAAGAGAAAAATCACTTGCAAGTTAAACATGGTGAACCTGTAGGTGCTGCCTCATGGGATTTGTTTTCTGTTAGACTGCATTGTCATACAATAATCAGTTTATCGGGCCAGGTGTATGCTATAGTGCAAGGTTTTTGCTCGTGATCCTTTTGTAGTCAAACAAAATTAAGAGTAATAAACCCGCATGAAGTCTGAAGTCATTCAAGATCTTTCTACCTTTTGTTTTTCAGTATTAGTCCAGTGTTTCTCTATATGCATGGGCAAGACTTGGAGGGCTTGTGTGTAGTATTTCCAGTTCTTTAGATTTTGCTCATACAGTATACAGTATGTAAACATTTATACACAATTATGTACAGAGTACCTGAGATTGCTCCTCTGTGACAAGAATGAAGCCGTTGTTGTCAATGAGATAACAGTTAATGTCCTGTCAGAAGAGCGAATACTTAGATTATACAAACCAAACAACAAAACAACCTGAAAAAGGCATTGGAAGCCAAAGTTAAATGACTATTCTCACCTCACTGTCACAGCTAATGCTACATTTTCCATCCAGAGCTGTACACTGACAACAAAACAAGTAATTTAGTTTCACACCAAGACAGGAAGCTTTTTGTAAAACATATCATAGTAGGTAGGGTGTGGGTACCTGTCTGCAGGCAGTCCAGAACTTCCTCTGAAAGAACCCGAGTTTCATCTGGATCCCTACAGCTGAGCACAAGACCAAAAACATGGTACAATATCAAAAAAACTAGCATCAACAGAACTTTACTTTAACTTTATTTATATAGCATTTCTCTCAACAGAGTCACAAGATGCATAAGAGTAAACCACAAAAATGATAAATGTATTAGCTACAAGAGAATTTAAAAAGTATAACACAAAATAAAACAGTAAACTAAAGAAGCATACATAAAAATTAAATTAAAACAGGGTAAAAGTACATTTTCAAAAATGTTTTCTGATACAAGTGAAATTTAAGAAAAGCTTGAACGATGGTTTAGAGGTTGTTACCTGCAACAATTGGAGACTTTCTGTCGTCGAGGAGCTGAATTGCTGTGCTGGCCAAAACCACACTCTTATTTTCTAAAGCTAAGACAGAAAGAGCAGAGAATAAACCGTAATTCAGTTGTTCACACTCTGTTCACTAGATGGCGCCATTTACTCAGCAGCATCAGTCGACTGGCTCAAAAGAAGCTGCAATGCCAGTTCATTACTTCACAGTAATGGAGTCCAGTCAGACCTCTTTCCACCGATAATATTTCTGAAATGGGTGCTGTGATAATGGCAATGGATGCAACCATCATTAACAGAGAAAAGATGGTAAATGTCCTCGAGAGTTGATTTTCCATCCTCTGGGTTATAGATAGAACATGTGCCACATTAACTGCAGAGGGAGGTGAGCTGTGTTACACATCCTACCAGTGGAAACCAGTAAACCCACTATTCAGAGAGTGGTTTACATGTTAAAATGCTGAATGACAAAGGCAATTAGAAGTTCCACAAAATTCTTCCTATTATGCTGCACTGGAAAGTGAAAAGTATATTGAGGTGAACTTGTGTAATACAAGGTGCAGATGGTTTCTTAGCAACAAGCAGATAAAGTGCACAATTTACATGCTGTGATCACTGGTTTTGTTCTGTATACCTGTGCTAAAGGGGATGGAGTAGACAAATGTGCCAGGGACCTGCTCTGCTGCTCTCTTGTACCACAGAGGGAAGTGATCAGCATTAAACACGCCCTCCTTGTCCTCCGCTGTCAGGAAATCCCTGAGGAAGCGCACAGAGTGAGAGCAAGGTGAGGAGCAAAGGATCATATTCATCAAGCATCATCACGGCCTCGCCTCACGCTGTAAGTGATGATTAGAGAAATGCTGAGCAGTGGCACTCACTGATTAGAGAGCTGATCAGCACGTACGAATAGATTGGTTCTTGACAAGCCAGTGCGTGTTCCCAGGAAGGCAATCTCCACTCCTTTGTCTGAGTTCCTGTTTGCGTAATGCAGAGCAGTGCCACATAAAAGCATCTTTACAACCTTTCTGAGTGAGTTCCTTGAACATTCCTCATAGTCTCCTGTCTAAACACAATTATGCAATGCTACATGTTATTTGTTTTTTTAAATGATGTAGGACATTTATATATGTATTTATACATTGTGACTTGGTTATTGTTTCTCTGACAAAACTCAGATTCATCTATTTTCCTCTGTTTATATGGAAATGCAGTGCAGCAGGCTAAGCAGGGTGGTCCAGATATTCTTCTCCCCAGCAACATTTTCCAGCTCCTCCCAGGGGATCCCAAGACTTTCCCTAGCCAGAGGAGATATATCATCTCTCCATCTTCATTGGAAAGCACCAGAAACTCAAACCACCTCAAATGGACCTCCATCTTCATTGGAAAGCACCAGAAACACCTCAAATGGACTTTTGACATTAAGGAGCACTGTCTCCACTCCAAGCTCTGTCTAGATGAGGAAGCTCCTTACTCTGCCCATTCATTAACAGTAATTCCTGCCATGGAGGATACTCATTTCACCTGTTTGTATTTGCGATATCATTCTTTCAATCACTACTCAAACACTCAGCCACAGACCACCCCAGTGCGTGCTGAAGGTCACGCTCTAATGAAGCCAAATGAACCACATCATCTACAAATGAGCAGAAAAGCAATTCTGGTGTTCCCAAAACACCCACTCCCACTCCCGTCCATGAAAATCACAAACAAGATCAGGGTGACAAGAGACAGCCCTGACAGAGGTCAACACCACCTGGACACATTCTGCTGAGAATACGGACATGACTTAACTGCAGTTATATAGGAACCAGATGGCGCATAGCGATGCCCAGGTACCCTGTACTCCTGCAGTACCACCCACAAGACTCCCTGAGGGGCACAGTCATAAGCATGTGATCTGTGGAAACTCAGGTCTGCTACCAATTAAACTGAATGGAGTGTAGAGGAAGGTTCCTGAAGCAGCTGATGTAGTGCTCATTTTTAAGGTAACATATACTCTAATATGTCAAAAAAGTTTAACTCCATGATGGTACATCTCTAACATATCTCTGCTTTGTATTTTTATATCATATTATTCATACAGGTGCTTTTGGACTTGAAGGCACTGGGAACGTGTTATTTTCTAAAATATTTTATAGCCTAAATTATGAATGGATTAATGACAAATCATTACTTGTACATCCTACTGTATATGACACATACGGTACATCAGGACATTATAAGCAGATTTCCAAGTGTTAAGGGATATATTTGTCTTAACGTAACACTAACAGGTCCATATGTGCACTGACATATTAATATTTACAAGTGTAGACATTATTGTTTTAAGAACCCTTCATTGATAGTTAACTAATATTTAAAAGTGTTTTCTGATAGAGCTCAATATAAAGTGAAAAACCCTTTATTGACTTGCTAATAACTGTATAGAACTGCTACCACAGGATGCTTACTCTGACTTGTTCAGGGCCAGTCCAGTCCAGTAGGCCTCTAGTGGAGCAGTGACCACAGCATCAAATAAAACCTCCTGGATCAGCTCTCTGTCACCTGCAGAATGGAACACCATGACCTGAACAGCAAATACATACCTTTTCTACCCCAAAGATCCATCATCTCTATCTTTACACTTCATATGAGAACGTGTTTTCTATTGTACTGTAACTAAGCCTAGATAATTAAGCCTGACTCAGATGTCTCTTACATTTGAGGTGTGGTCTGCGACCTGTCATGAACAGCTTGATGGCCTGAATCTGGGTCAGATGACGGTGTTCATGCTCCTCCTCTGTGTTGCAGTAGGTCCTGTGGTCCAAACAGACCCATACTGTTACATCACAGACATCAACATCCCCCCGGTGAACACAGAGAGATAACCTATATAACGCTTGAATGCCCACTTCCATAACCCCGGCATTACCATTCATCTGCCAGGGCGACATCTGGCTGTTCCAGATCACGGAGCCCTGAAAAACACAAGTCAGTAACGCTTCAGCAGTGCCAGCCTGGGTAGACTGATACAACCAGCCTCCCAAACTAGCAGTTCAGAGTAACATGCATCTTAACTGTATATAGGCTGTTGTTAATTAAGTAAATGACAGCGTTGGAGTTATATACCGGCTTCAATTGACACATTTCCTCTGAAGAAGTACTTTCCATGACCTCTGGAAAGAGCCACCCCGACACTGGAGACAAACAGAAGAAAGTCAGTCAACATTTAACTGGACTAGAGACATAAAAGTCTTTTTAGGAATGTAAAAAAATCTTTTCTTCCACCTGAATGGCGTCCCTTTGATGTCAGTATAGTAATAGTCATTGTGCATCTTCAGGACACGCCTCTAAAACAACAGGGAAAAAAAGCATGCAGATGACATTTACTCCTTTAGTCCAGAGATTACAGAGAGAACAACCGTCATCTGACAGGAAACATCTTCATGTACAGCCTCACCCCTCTATCCACTGTCTTCTTCACCTCCATAGAGAAAGTCCCTGTCCTCCTATTCACCATAGCGTTGCGTAGCTGAAAGACAGCAAACAGGCACATAGAGCTCAGTGACCTAACGTCCTGTTGGTGGTTGCAATCTCACTTTGATACTGAAAACAATGACCTAACGTCCTGTTGGTGGTTGCAACAGACCAATAATGATACTGAAAACAGACCAATAATGCCATGACTAAGGGGTTAATATGATCTAAAAGTAAACCCTGCTGTTGACACATACAATATCATCTTTGTCCTCCCACTCCACCTCAGACAGGTCCACGCTGCTGTAGTTGGGCTTTCTCCGTTTCTGACCCTCTTGATACTGTACAGAGAAACACAATATGCACAGTTTAATGATCCCTTTGATTATGGGGTTTTTTCGATTAAAGGTTTAACCAAAATATCTAGTCTGACCAAAATGTGCATGTGAAACAAAATTTTCAAATGCATGAGCTCACGATTAAGGACATAAATCCATGTAAAATGTCTTGTATTTGTCAAGCCCTCTAATGGAGGTTTTGCTGAGTAATTATTTAACAAATCATCTGTGAAATGAACACTGTCAGGTAGATTAAAAATAATTAACGTGATTAATAGCAAATCCACGTTCAAACAAGTCTACATCAGTACATTACACTGAACATGTCAAAGGCTGCTATTGTATGTAGTCTGGTCCACATGAAACAACAAGTCAGTGACTACAACCACAGCACAGTTTGAGCCACAAAGAGACAGTCACGAAAAACCAACACAGACCAACACACACACATTTGCACAGAGAGGAATAGCACTAACACTGGCACACACAGATCCACTAGCACAGCCATAGCTCCTGAGGAACCAGTGATCCCAGGGCCAGCGGCTGTGGTCTCTGCCAGCAAGTGTTAAGTTACCTCTGGGAAATCTCAGGCCAGCCAGCCCTATGAATGGCCCTGCATGCATACATCAAAGGAAAAGGTGGGGATTACAGACTATACAAGCCCATGTAGCCTCCTAACCAGATAACACATTTTTTTCTGATTGTCCTCATCAAAGGAGGCGTTCAGTTCATATTGTCGGTTATGCATACAATTGCATGGACAAAAACAAAAAGGAGAAACAAGGTAAAATCTGGGAACACTATGAAACGGTTCAGGTGTAAAAGTAATGTTAAGAAGTCGAGTTACCAAAGGTCTGAGGTCTGGGTGGATCAGGATGTAGCCATTGTTTGTTATAGCAAATGCATACCCATGGATCCCTAACTAGAGACACAAAATGAGACAGTAAGAAAGCTATATTACAGAACGCTTATTAATACATTCAATAATCTAAAGCAAACGATTGTACCATATGTTTGGGGATTAACTTCATCAGCTCCTGCAGAGGGATGTCTGTTCCTACGACCCCCAGCAGAATACCCTGGTTCTTCTGCATGAAGAGATTCAAAACACACAGCTTTAGATAAAAACTGCACAGGTACTCACTTTGCTCCCATGTAGCCACTCACAGTTTCATTCTTTGTACTGAAGACGGGCATGGCTACTGTAGTCATCAGACTTGGGCCCGCTTTGTCATTCAGCTGAAAAACAAAAAAAGAGTTAGGACTTTGTTACAAAGTAATGCTGCTATTTCGACGGAGTAATACCATGGAGAAACGTGTCAAAGTAATTTCTGCAACAGTCAATAAGAAACAGCAACAAAGAGATTCAGACTATATATGTACAGTCTAATTCTCATATACTTTAAATGTCCACATAGAGAAAAAGGAAGCGGTGAGGAGTAACAGCTTCAGGACCTGACAGTAACAAAGATACAACACTTCTTTCTTCTACAGAATGTTTAAATGTAGCATCCTAATGAAATCCTGTAAAATTACGGATATATAAGGCCCTGGTCACAACCTTTCCTTTTGTTGAACCTGAACCATGTGAGGCTCAGAGGGGGAGGATGAAGGCCGACATAATCAAGCACATGAGCGCTGTTTAAGTGGGTCTGCTATTCCCTCACCTTGTTCATTTGTGTACTGCATACATATGAAGTAAAACAAACTGTGAACTGCAGTGTGTACAAGTTGCCTTAACAAAATGAAGAATGGGGTGTCCTTAAATCACAGCACACAGCGGAAGAGAAAACTGGACTGCTTTATTACACACACACAGTACAGGTAAACCCAGGGACACCTAAGCACCTCCACCTCCCTCTCTCTCTCTTGGTCTTCCCTCCAATGTCAGTTTTATTATGGGCTTTAGGAGATAAAATGCAATGATGCACAGAATGATGAATAGTGTGTCTGAGGGTGAGATACAAGAGCACACACTCCAGAGGACAATCTCCCAACTCTTCAGTGTGTGTGTGTGTGTGTGCTCATTGTCTCCATACTGGAAAGAATTACAATAAATGCTTCTCCTCATTTTACACTTCCTAAGAAATATTAAAGTATAAAGTTGAAAAGTAGTGACAATAAGCAGCTATTTAACCTTTCTGGTCACTTCTGCTATATATGATAAGACTCAAATTTGCTGAGACCCAGTGGAAACCTTTGTGATCACAGCTGAAAACTACTACAGTATCTACAACAACCAACTAGTTCTTTTATAAGACAACAAATAAATTATACTGATGTGATTATATGTAGATATTTACCTTATGAGCCTGGGAAAGCTGAAATGAAAAAGAAATGCATTAAAACAGAACTGTCCAGTGAATTAAAGTCTGCACAATCTGCAGTGACTATGTGGGCACAGATGTACATCAGGGAGAAGATTTATGCAGATTAATGAAGCTCATAATGTGGAATCATTCCAGCAGCATGAAGAGTAATGATAAGAGACCCGGAGCGCACATGTGCCGAATCAAAGCTCATCACACCATTCAGTGGCTGTTATCAGTTGTTACCATGTCCATAGAATAGTTCAGTAGTGGCCAACCGCACAAGCCAGTAGACGCTTACCACTAATACATATTGTAATTAGGGGACCTCTAGTGGCCATAGCAATAATGACACAAGCAAAGGAGGAAACAAGGTGATGTAGTACATGCATATAGTCTCAAAGTCCATTTTAGGAGGAGGCTGGGGTGGCTGCATGGGTCAAACACAGGACTTTCCCTCGGGAGATTGGTGATTTTTATACATGACCGTTCCACAAACGTAACCACATGTATTGCTATAATGATGGTGAAGGCCCTTTAATGTTAGGAAAGTAGTTATTTTAGGCCAAGCCACAATCTTTTCCTAAACCCAACCAAGTAGTTTTTGTGCATAAATCAGGTAAACTTTGTGTTTATTAGTCTAACCATGACAATGATGGTCTGTGGCTTGATAACGACCTCCTGAGCCTGCTAGTAGGTCAACTAAGCCCCCACTCAGCCTTAAAGTACAGTCCTGATTATAAGTAATAATGAGCCACTGAATAATGTGATAACATCCAAAACGGGTGGTACAGTATGAAAATAACACAAATACCTTACAATATAGTGTAATGCATGTTGTCAACACAATAAACTACAGCACTGATAAGTAGGCATAGTGGAGTCAACACCTCTCTGATACAATTTTAGTATTGGCTGATGTGCTGGCTTGCAATATAGTCTACAAAGCAGGCCGACACTCACAGGACATCATTAAACTGTTTTAGAGTGAAGCACTGTAACATACTCACAGCACTGTCCACGTAAGCTTCAGTCCACACTGTGTCATGCTTGTGATCTATAACCTTTGGGCGGCTCATGACGTGAAGATACCTCATGACATTCTCCTGAACGTCTGCTAAGGTGGAGATCTGACTGAAATACCCTGCAGTAAAACATAAGCATTAACCCCAAATCAGGCACAGTATACACATCTTCCACCATGTGGATTTGGGCCATATAAAGCGACACACCAAAATATTACAACTAGTGTCCAGTGGTAGAAGACCTATCAGATCAGGAAGTACTTTTCCAGGTTTAATAACTCTATTAAACTATTGTCTGTAAATTTGAATTTCCTACACAAAGGTCTTTTTCTCTCCACACTGCTGACAGTAGAATAGCCTGAAGAAATCATTTATTTACTTTCAACTGTCTAAAAGTACTGAAACCACTTTATATAAAGTGCCATCAATATAACATTTTCTGATGAAGATACAGTAACATCCCTCCAGGTTGCTACACCTGCAAAGAATATGGCCTCACTAACCTTAATTGTAGTGTCATAAAAATGTAGTTAAGTTTAAATTCTAATAGCCATTATGCAAAATAGCCTCTGCTCCAGCAGGTGCACATTGTTATTGTATATTATAAAAAAAATGATCTAAACAACATTTTAAAGCTATAGGCAGGTGGCGCTTATTTTAAAGCCCATATGTGTCGGATTGGAACATTTCTTGCTTTGTCAAAATGACACTGTGGCAGACAACATCACATGCCAACAGCTGAAAACAAAACATAGAGTGAACCAATTATATAAATGTTTCTACAAAAAGAAAATTTATACGCCAAGAGAATTTGAAAGATGCTATAATTGCATAAAACATTAAAAAATGAGGTATATGCATTTACTATTGGGTTGTTGATATCATATTTCATCATGTTCATGTGTTTTGTTGTAAAATCCTTTTTTTGCAAAGTAAATAGTGATTAACACTAATAAAACAAATATCACTAGAAATAAATACAGTGACGTAAGCAGCTCAATATTTCTATTGGAAATGTGTTGGAGTTAGAGTGTGGATGCCTGAACAGGACCCGTCGACACCCCAGAGTCCAGGTCGGGTTCCTACATGTCATACTTTAGGTTAGATGGCTGGAGCACTCTGCTTTGTTTAATGAGAAGTGGAAAACAACTGTGCAAATTCAACTGTGCTGGGTTTGGGTCAGGTTTGGACATTATATACTATGAGCTTGTTGGGTCCGGTTTGGGTTCAGATGCCACACTCTCGGACAGGTTCGGACAGAAATATGTGGACTGATCCATGCTCTAGTAGGAGTACAAGTATAAAGTAGCATAAAATGAAAACATTCAAGTACATTATCTCGAAACTCTACCAAAGTGTGGTACTTAAGTGAATGTGCTTATAGGTACGTTCTATCACATTTTAGGTCCCTGACATTCCTGGTATGTGCTGAACAACTCTGGAGCAGGTTTCCAATGGTTCAGCTTGGAATGACACGGGAGTCATTTGACTTCGTGTCAGTTCCTGCTGTCACTGGCAATGCTTCATATTGGACACGGAAGGTTATTTCACAGTGGGGGTCTGTATAGGGAAGGAGGTTTAAGGCTTGTGTGTCTACAATCTCTCTGATCTGTTTTCCTGGCTGTTACGTTTCCTTCCAGAGGGCACTCATTCGGAACGCTGACACGTGGGAGCCATCAGCAGCGAGCAGCCAAGGGGGAGACATTCTGACAGGAAGAGGGATTAGACTAGATTGACCTCTGACCCCCCAAAGTGCCACTTCATTGCCTCTTGGCAGAAAGAGTCAGAGCCAGCGCATACAAATGCATGCACACATGCAAACACGCTACAAACCACACTGATACCCATACATCCTTAAGCTATCATATCAATGCACAGAGTCACCACATCAAGCTTGATTCGACACACTGATACTGAGCTGTCCTGGGAAGCATTTATTAAAAAGTCTCAAACCTTTGTTGGCACAAGCCATCCATTTGAGGTTATCAGCAAACGCAGACTCTCGTCCAATCAGGTAGGGGAATATTCGCACCTATGCAGAGGACACAGATGTCGACAGTTTCAAAGATGGAAGGATTTAAAACAACATGCAAAGTGATGGGCCTCCTCAGTACTTTATCTCCTTGTCCTGATTCTATCCGGCTGGGGAACAACAACTAGCTGCATGTTTTTACATTTTTATGAGGATACACAGACCATTTAGCTGCTTTTCAACCTTTTCCTTTTCATTCTTGCGGTTTATTCCCTTAAATGCAATGAATTTCCTTTTGCTGGGGGGCTGGGCATGAGGGCATGTTCCACTGTCCTTTTGAAAAAATGCTGCATGACACTGCCAAACCTGCACGGCTCATTGGCTCCAGATGCTTTGCTAAGCAAAAAGCATAAAAAAACACAGAATTGCTGCCATATAGCGGCCCTGAGGATGTAAGGGGGAGGATGGGGTACTCTGCCAAATATTGCCCTGTGCTGTGCCAAACACTGCCAACACACATATGCATAATAAGACTGAACAAAAGCCCCTGAGCTGTTGTTTTTATTGTTCTGCAAATAGCACAGTAGTCCATTTCATTTCAATTGCTTTTAGAGAGACTAACAAAATATTTTAAACCCGGTGTTGAGTCCAGGAAGAAGTGTGGAGAAAGCAGGGTGGGGAATGGGGGGGCTAGAGTGTTTGAGACGGAGCTGCTTGGCCATGCTCTGTCCTTGAAAGCAGTGAACTTCTCATGTTTTATTCCTCAAATGGGGAAATGTTGCTCTGTAATGCATCGACGCATGGAAAAACATAATACTGTCATTTTTATATTACAGAATTATGAGTGGTAATGATGTACAAAACCAATTCCTCAAAGCGTCAAGAAAGGAGCTCCAGCTGGCATGTAGTGTTAAAATGTACATCTATCCCTGAAGCAAGAAAAGTGCAGTGCAAGCAGAAAATTCAGAAACAGTACATACATAACACTGAATATTAGGCACTGTGTGGAACAGTAAAGAGATGGAGGCAGGCAGAAAGAAAGTGAGAAACAGGGAGAGAGAGAGAGAGAGAAGCTCACCTTCCTTTCTGGCCAGTTGTACTTCTCGAAAACGTCATCATACATTTCAGTTGCCCCGTCGGTCACGAGCATTATGGCCTGGCTGCAAACACTACCACGGCCAGTTTGGTTAAACTGCACAATGAGAGAAGGCGTAAAGATAGTGTACAAGTTAAAAACCCACACCACATCCGTGCTTCTGTACAGTATAAACTGAACAAACAGCCAAAAACGTCTGTGTCAATCGTATACTGTGCTGTAAAGCCATCAGTCAAAATACAGATAACATCTTAGTAAATGTATGATACACTTTATTCAGATGCCAGAAGATGCATTGCAGTAATTATATGTAGTTTATTGACCTATAACAGAATGAATGCGAAGAATAAAGGAGCATGTAGTGACAGGAACACAGGCTGAAACCTGCTGAGCTCGTACAGACCCAGTATCAGAAGGCCTTCAGAACAGTGCACCTGTCAGCTCACAGGACTGTGATCAAATGGGATTATTATAGTTAGTAAACCAAAATCTGAATATTTAAGAAATAACCTGGATATGTAATTATTATTATTTGTTATAGTAGTAGTATTTAAATCAAAATGTAAACTAACTCTAAGAGGCACTAAAAGCTGTGTAACTAAAGATGCAAACTGCAGTGAGTCTCTCCACAGTCAGCAGGAGCCAGCTGACCAAGCACTTTCTCACACACATCCACACAAAATGGTCGGTCTGGGATCAAGAACAACAGTGATTTAACACAATTAAAAGGGTTTTGGTGGTACCAGGCAAAATCAGATGAAAACACATTTTCCTTTATAATTCCCTATGTCAATAGAAACCAGATAATTTGTGCAGGGTTCTGTCTGGCTGCGAGGTTGTGACATTGCAAGAGAGCAAACTGTGGGCTTCATCAGGGAAAACAACATTAAGTGATGAAACACTTAATCCGGATATATAAGATAATTCATATTAGTTAGAGAGTGTGCATAAAGTTCTCTCAGTGCTAGTCAGTTTATATGACCCTAACTCTATCTAAAATATTGTTTAATATTACAAAATGTTTGTTTGTCAGCTGTAATTTTCATGCTCATTTACCAGTAGCTGAATAGGAAACAAGCCCATGAGATATTGGCTCATGTAGTTTACTTGGCCTCCTGTGATATAAACAAACCACATGCTCACTCTTTTCTCTCAGCTTTCACTTCGCTTCCTCTGGACCCTGCACCTTTTTCCCTTTGCACCATTCAACACCTCCATGGCACATACCCTTGCTCAACCTTGCACGCTACTAGTGCTGGTGTTGCTGATCTCACCATTTACTGTATTTAGTTTATGTTGTTTCATTATGTCTCTGAGATGGAGACTTTTTTCATCAAATTCCCTGAGCCAGGAAAAAATGTTTCATGAAAGAGTCGAGTGTCTAAAGTCATCGTTGAAATTGTTGACACACTCTGCTACCATCCTTTAGCTAAGCCTTTGTTTAAATGTGCAGCATACTGCACCCGCTGTTTCGGTATTGTAGATAAACAAGAAGTTGTAAATAAAAATGTTAATGATAAGAGACTAGATGAATATCAGGGATCATTAAGAACTGATGTGGATAAAATCCAGTACTAAGCTGTAGCTGCCTGAGAGTTAAATCAACGTTCTTGTTCTAAACTCATCCAACAAGAGGAGGGATTTACACTCACTGTTCTGTGACTCTGTCCTATCATCCCCCTGTGAGAAGGGGAGACTGTTTTCATATCACAACACTGCTCTCATTCGGTCGACCGAGACTAGATGTAGAAGTGCTGCAGTGCTCTTCAAGTGAAGTGAGTTTCTCTTTGATCTGGTCTGACAGGCTGTATTCTAACTTCACTCACTGGACAAAGGCGTACAAAAGATTTCAGCAGTGGCTACTAGCTACCTGATTACCATATTCATTGCAGGGCTTTAATTAATCTGACAAAAGCAGAGGTAAAAGCTGTGCCCCCTCAGCTTCGGTGGCGCAGCCAAAGCTTGCCTGCAAAAAGGGAGATAAAAGGAGTGCGGAGTGGCTCCTGGCCTTATCTGCTTTGTGTTCCAATCAGCTACGTTATTAATCACTTGACATTAATTAGAGCCATTAATCATGCTTCAGAATAGATGTGTCTGTGTATGGAGGGCGGAACGGGGACAGCACTGGAGCGTTTCAACAGGCGACCCACCTCTCAAGTGCTCAAATATATTTGACTAGAGTGTGCCGTGCGTTTTATGATTAGCTGAGAACAAGCTGTGTCGTACTTGAACACTTCCTGTCAGTGAAAATAAATGTGACTTGCAAAATGAAAGTTTTGCTAATGTTCTGGTCAAGTGGAGCTCTTGAATTAAATGAGAACAAACAAATTAGTGATAGCTGAGCACATGCACAAAGTTGTTACTTTGTGTGGAAGCTCATAAATACTGAACAGGACTGACACATAATCAGTAAAGAGTAAATAACAATTTAGTTGATCTGATGTATGATACATGATTTTACCGCAATATAGACTGGGAAGATTTGTGTTTGAACAGCATTCTCATTACACAGACGGTCACAGTTTAGTGTGTTGGAACTTACATCACTGAGGATGGTGAAGGCTTCAGCCAGAGCTTCACCCAGCAGCCCAATCCCTTTGGCAAACAGCTTGTCCAGATGTTCACGGAAATGCTGACAAATAAGGATGAAAGTAGGAATTAAAGGCTTTAAACATTATTTACACAAAGTCAAACCTGATCTAATGCGCGTGCATTTATTACGTCAGTTTGAATCGGAACTCACATCTTTATTGGTTCTGTCAGCCCGGACCAGAGTGCCGTTCAAACAAGGCTCCACATAGTGAATTTCATGATTATACTGAGGAAATAAAAAATGGCATTTAGATAAGAGCATTAAATAAGTGCTCCTTGTTATTCATCTCTAGTTGTCTCAACAGAAATGTCTAAAAACTACTTCATTCAAAATAGACAGCAACAGACGAAGAATGCAGAGACATGTACACAAGCAAAGACACGAACATGCACAGACACAAACTGACAAAAGGTGACAGTTCCATATAATTAAAACCTACTGCGATGATGTTGAAGAAGTCGTCATCTCCCAGCGTGTCTAATATGGAGGAGACAGTCTGTCTGGCAATGGTCAGTCTCAGTCCTTTCATGCTTCCACTAACATCTACTAAGATAACTACATCTTTTGGAGACGTTGCTGCCTGGATGTACCTGTGATAGGGGTTTAAATTGCACACTGTGAAACGTAGGCTGTTACAGTAATAAAGCAACACTGGGAAAATAAATATGTTCCTTACAAATGATCCATCCATCTTTTAGCTATACTGCTCATCCTGAATAGGGTTGTGAGGCTTACAGATTTCTTACCACTTCCGATTTCTGCAGTCAAAGCCGATGACACCATGTTCATCTGGATGCCACTTCACTCCTGGGGAGTAGATCAGGAAGTCAGTTAAGACAAAGAATAGGACACTGTGGACAAACACAAGCACACTGACACATGATATCTGTAACTGTAAGGCAGGTCTGCCAACTCAGACAGACATCTCTCAGATGGGTCCATCAGTAGTAGACACAGTGCCATATTGTTGCATATATAAAGAGGATTCTATTTAAAGTCATTTAAGTCACAGGTGATCAGCTGGAAGGGAAGAAGGGAAACTGGCAAACACTATTTCATGCAAACATACATTACATAATTCATGGTGCCCAACTTTTTTATGCCTAAAGGACAAACTCGGTCATAATGAAGGTTTTTATAGTTTTTAAAAATCCCATGAAAACCAAAACCAAGCACAAATTTCTACAGAGAATACAAAGTGTTGTCTGTGTATTCAAAGCCTGATAGTGTATTTCTCTGAGCCAAGGACCTCCATTATTGTCCAGAAACTATTAAAAACACATCACGGAGCCACACTGTTGCACTGAGAAACACTGCATTTATCACCCTGCAGCCATAAATACTAGTGCACCAAATGTGGATTAATCTGTAGCTGAAAATAGGATTTACTCCTGTGTACGACTGGCTAAAAACTACAGAGCCCAGCTACTGAAATCATTTTATTTTTTCCAATAATATGGCCAAAGCAAAAAGCAAAGTGTTGAGCAGAGTGTGATTTTCAAAAATCACTCAAATGATGAGCACATTTTTTAAAAGTGTGCCATCAAACATCCTCACACTGGGACTTCTCTTTATGCATTAAACATGCAGAGTCCCTATCTATTATACACTATCATCAGTTGTGTCTCACTCCGGCACTGCAGAGAGTCGAGTGCCTGCTTTTCACAGCACTGTAACGGTCTGATAACTCTGGTTAGATCCAGCAGTCTGTTCCTCAGCATGACTGTGGATCCACACCAGAAAATACTGATTAATTACAGTCTGTATAGATGCATCCTCTCTGATGGTCTGTAAAATTACAACATTAGCCAAATTACCCTTTTAGTAATTCTAAATCATTTGTTCTGATCCTTTTCTCCATTCATTCTTTGATGGCTGATGGCTCTTGTGGGACAAGGACACCCCACCCCCACCCCAATGTATTCCCTAGCCCTGTACCACAATCATTATCACAACTAAATGCTATAAACCCAGTCATTACCTAAATTAAACCTAATCCCTAGTCTTAACCCTCAGAAATTCCTTTGATGGTGTGTGAGAATATGAGGATTGGCCAAAAAGTCCATGTTATACAAATGATTGTCACAATGTACAACCATACAAGTACACACACAACCCAAATACAGAAATATGAAGACCACCAGACTGACAGAGTGACAACACTCACCGGGATACTGCCTGAAAAAACCCTTGGCACTCCCAAAGTACTGCCAGATGAGGGTAGGGTCTCTCTCAAAATTATCGACAAACACTTTATTCAAGGCCTCGGACCAGTAAACCCCGTTCACTATGTCAGGATCTGAGGAGGCCGGAGGATGTGGGAAGAGAAAGAGAGGGGAGATGGGGAGAGACAAGTAAATTAAATGGTGATAATGGTAACCATCCTGGTCACTGTCACAGAGCGCACGGTTGACCTTTGTCCCTTATTGATCCCCCCGAAGGAGACACAATGCCTGTGACTAAATCAACGCCTCCCCTCCTCCTCTAAGATGAGCCTCCTTTTGTCCTGTGAACAGAGAGCTATGGGGAGTCCATTATAGCCAAACAAAACTAGACCGGGTGATAAAGAAGGAGAGGAGGTGCAAGAAAGCAACTGAACAGTCACCGTATGAGCGACATCTTTCCAATGTCTTTGACTCTGAAGTTGCTTTCTCTTTACGTCTACTGATCCCCCGACTCCACTTCTCCCAGCCTGTGACACTGATATAGCTTGTACCATCTCTCCCTTTTACCACTGACTTGCCTTCTGTTTTTTCACAGTAGACTCACAAACACTCACAAAGTCCAGTCTTCTGGCTGGCTGTGGGCTGTTCCCTCACCTTTGTTGTACATGTTGGTGGGCACCTGCACCACACTGAGGCTCAGATTGACTGAAAGGTTATTAAAATGATCGTTGGGCTCCAGGATGAACTCTCCACCCAGCTCCACATTATTGCCCTCTCCATCCACTTCATTGATCAGCACGGCATTGAAGTACTCATACTGGACAAAAGAATGAATATGGAATATGTTAAAGACACTGCAGGTACAGCAAATAGGTACCAAAGCCTGAAAGGAGGTAGGAGAAGAGGCAAAACAATAATTATAACAATTATTTTAATAATCAGGACAGTTTCACATCCATGTATGTTAAAGGTTTTCTGTTTGCAACCCAGTGTCACAGCAAAACGTATTATAGCTACGTTGGTCGGCAACACAAAATGTACTACTCTCACAATAACACCTTGAACACCTTGTGACATTGCAATGTTTTTCTTGATTGAAAATTGAAACTGAATGAAAACAGTTTTGTTTAAGCACAGAAGCTAAACTGCATTCTTAAGTTTAAGCGCACAAACTAGATGGTTGAGGTTTGGAAAAGGCCCTGGAGTCAGTTATAACACTTTAAAATACTTAAAACACAACACTGGACATGGGGCACAAACACTGGTTCTCTGAATGAAAGTCTGGTGTTTGTTTGACCATCCATGTTTTCAATAGTGTTTTCAACTGGACACTACATGTTAGCTTCCTGGTCCACACACTAGTCCAGCTGGTGGTCGTAGTGGGACATTTGACTGCTGCTCTAGAAGAAGACCACAAAATAAAGGACAATTGGCTGCAGTACAACAAAAATTGCCATGCCACAACTTTACTGCTGTTACTACTACATGTTACACTGTGGACCAAAGTAGCTTTTACACATTTTGCTGTGAGACTGGACCGGTGTTGATGTAAAATCATCGCTTCAGTGTAAGTGATGGTGGGCAAAATCCACAGTTCTTGGTCTGTATCAAAAATGCATTCTAAAAGTCAGTCAAAGCTGAATACAGATTTAAAAAACTGTGAATCTATCTATTCTTTAAAGGTCTAGGCTGTGCCTTTTCCTCTAAGGGCTTCCACAACAGCCAAACCAAAGATTATTTACAAATGCATGGTAATGCAAGCCCAGTCTGTGTCTGTCCTCTCAGGATTGTTAACCATCAGATCAGAAAAAAATGAAATCAGAGATTAGAAAATGTGAAAAACAGAATGAAATAGAGCATCGTTAAGTGCTACAATAAAACTAGAAAATAAAAAATGTAAAATAGGGTAAAGTGGTTAAAATATAGATGGAGGACAGGAGGGAACGAACAAGCAACAAGCCGTTAATCAGCTTTGCCACCTGAGTTACAACCCTTCATAATTAATGAACAGTACCAGGTGCGAGTGCAGATTTCTGCTTAGTTAGTGCAGATTTTTAAAACTGTCAAACTGCACATAAACTACAGCAACCTCACTAGTCACTGATGTCTAAGAAGGCCCTAAGAGGACTTCATGGGTGCCAGTGAAAAGTGTGGTCTGGCTAATGTGAAACCCAACAGTTTTGTCTGTCCTGTCCTTCACTGCCTGCTGCTGCAGAAGAGAGACTGCCTCATCCTGTCTGGGCAGCCTCTCTGTGGCCTCTGGTCCTGATTGTCTGCATCAAGAGAGAAAGAAAGAGAGAGAGGAGGCACGGAGGGAGGGAGCGAAGGAGAGATGGGTGATAACTCTACAGCATCACACTCGGGGAAGGCCGCGCGGGCATCACCATCAAGCAGCCCCTGACAGCTCATACCACGCCTGAGCAGCTCTCTGACGAGCTGCGGCGAGGCGGAGGGGGGAGGGGAGGGAACAGCAAGGGAGAGAAACGTGCACCCTCAGCAGAACTGATAGTGCTAGAGAGACACGTTAACCACCAGGGTTATTACTGTAGAGCAGGCCACGGGACACTGCAGCTCTCCGAGATGCCCCGCTGACTCTTACACCACTGCAGTTAGCTAGAGGCCCTGCTGCAGAGATCCGCCCTCCATTACAGACTGCAGGGGGCCTTACTGTATAAACAGGCCCTACTACCTGGAGACGGTGGGTCTCTCTAATGTCTATCTGCACAAGCCCTGCACTTGTTCATAAAAACCAACATGTACTGAAGTCAGTTCTCCTTCCTTGATGCTATGGATCACACATGTATGACCCCATTATGTATGTTGTTGTAATTTCAGTATTAATGGCTCAGTTTGTTTTATGTTAGACCACAGCAGCAGGCAATTCTAATATAAAAACTGGGCACTTAAATAAAGGTGCAAACATTTTTTCAGGAAAAATCACAAAAGCAGAAATTTAGTCCCTTTACTTTCTACCAAAAGTAAACATTTTGATATTGTTGTCTCTTCTTGATTCTTTAAAATGCAAGTGTATATATATTCTTTTGTATTTCTAAAGCAGTTACTTTATGAAAAGCTAAACATTCCTGATTTTCTAAATCTTTTATAGGTGCCCCAAATAAATGTTGAAAGTTTTAAGCAAAAACTTAACAGACATAAAATCAAAGCAAGATGACAGTTAATGCATTTTTTAAGTAAGAGCCAGATTTCTGTTGCTCCAGCACAACGTTGAACCGTGGACTACTGCTATAGCCATAGCCACAGCCACACAATGAAAGGTTGTAATCACAACTGTGTGGACAGTTTGATTAAGTCAAACTCAGTCATATTGTTGCTTTAGAATTTAGTTTAGACACAACACTATTTGCTAAATGCAGTGAACACATTTGGTTGACAGTGTTTGTCTCAGTGTTTTATATTAATTTACCTGGATTCCTGCTTCCAGATCTGACAAAAATGTCTTTGAGGGTGGAGCCTGGTTAAATGCCAAGTCCCAAGCCAAGGACCAGATGAACAGCTCTGACAGCAACAGGGGAGAAGTGGGGGTTTCTAGTTTAGAAACTTTGGTTTGTTCTTTAGATTATATTATTTTTGTGGTATGATTTACTTTATGTAAACTGAAAAGGCTAGCTGTCCTGTGTTGTTGTATTTATAGTTTATTTGTTAACTATTGTCTTTGTTATCTCCCTTGTTTCAGAATAGCCTGATCAGCCAGTTTCTATGTTCCATTCTGGGTTCAGTCATGAGGTAAGTTCACTTTGTCATTTCACTTTGTTCAGTTGCTTGAGTTCAGTTCAGTTTTGTTGTCCTCTTTTATGGGCCCAACCTTTATTGTATATTTTCTAAACCGCTACTTTCTTTTTCTGGGGTATAAATTAAACCCTCTTTTTTGAAAATGGACCTGTGGCTCTTTTTGTCTGGCAGCTCGGTCCTTCACAACTACACTTGGGTCAATGCGAAACACCGGACTGTCCTGACACAGCGCAGCAGAGATAAGAGCAGGAGCCTTATCTGCCTGTGGTCAGTGAAATGGTGCATGAAAAATGTGTGGTGTCAGAGGAGGCGAGGTTTCCTAAATGATGCCACAAAGACTAATATCATGACATCACATCATTATATCAGGGGGATATTGAATTTTCTTATTATTTTTATAGCCTTTAAGATGAAATGTCTGTGTCATAGCGTGTGCTATATACCAATAACTGCCAATTGCTTGAATATAAATGTAAAACAGTGTTTATCTATCACCTGCTTGGAGCAATTTTAGTGTACAAATGTACTTTTTTCCATATACATTAACAACACATTAATGGTTGTATTGACTATTTAAAAATGCATTAGGGATAAACATTTCTTTATGGCAAAATATAAAAGGAAACCACAGACACTAGGTAAAACTAAAGATATTTTCTTTTAAACATTTCAGGAAACAATGACTGTGACACATTATTTGACATATATATTTGGGTTTAAGGTAAATGAAAGATGCCAAAGAGATCTGGATAAGACTGTAACCTTATTTAGTGAATAACAGCCCAAATAAAATCCACTGTAATGATGAATGAATAAGTACACGAAATGCTTAAATCCCTCAATGTTTTGTATGCGTTAGAGGACCACAGCCATAGTGTAGATTTGTGGACGTGCTGTATTTAAATCCAAGCAAAGTCTAGTTTCAAGAATTATGGTCAAAGAAAAAGTTTTTTTTTTCTTCATTATAAGTTAAAAGATATCAGTCGTATTTTTGTGCCTGTCTGGTTATGGCGATGTGAACAGCAGAGAAACGGGTCGAGAACACGGTGATTGAAATGTATTCATACGATGTAAATGCTTCTATTAAGTGTAAAGTGCCGCCGTTATTTTAGTGTTTGTTGCTCCAGTGGGTTTCCAATCTAGAGCCAGGAAAGTGAAACAATGCGCTGCGCAAAAGAGTTTCATTTATCTTTGTCCACTGGACAGAGAGAAAGAAAGGGGGAAAGAGGGAGAGAGAGGGAGAGGGAGAGAGAGAGAGCGAGAGAGAGCACTAATAAAAGACAGAAACACTGCATTCCCTCTGCAGTGGTTGAGGAAGCTCATTGCGTAAAGGAAACCCGCAACAACAGACGCTAAATAATGTCCCGAACATGGGCAGAGCACATGAGCAGATCCTGTATAACATAATCAAAATTAGATGCAATGCATACTTAACGTTTGTCTCCCATTTTTCTCTGCATTAGTAAAGTTGACCGAGTCAAATAAAGCAGTATCCCTTTGATGCTGTATTCAAAATATTTACCATGCATTACAATACGCAGTGTAGGTTTTAATTTTACGTGCACAAGGCTATAGAGCTTTGCCACCATTGCGCTGTACTGTACTGTACAGGTACAGTAGGTACTGTGCTACTAGCTGCAGGTATTTATCCTAAAAGCGCAGACCTGAGCCATGACTCCAACACCTGCGTGACTTATGGCGCTGCAGCCTTTAATGTGCGTGCCACTGCTTATCAAAGAATCGTTATGAATCAAACCGCTGACAACACATCAGTGTGAAGGACGATGCCAACGCAATTAAAGGCTGAAAGGGCCTTTGCCCTTCTCTCACCTTGCAGTCTCTCCGCCTCTCCGACCCAACTAAAAATGAGTCGTCCAACACAATGACACATCACATTTTTATTAAATATGTTCCTCTTTTCTTTTCTTTCGTCTGGGACAAACCTCACCTGCAGGTCGGGGTTATCCTCATGCTGATGGTGCGCTTCTTCTGCTGCCTCCACCAGCCGCTGAACGGAGGAGAAAATGGTTAAGAGCTATTAGGCGCAATATACTGCAAACATAACGATTCTATTCATATATCAATGCATATACTTCAAATTATGCTTTGGACAATTATGCACTTGCACGTGTCTTTAAGACTTCCACAACCCCCCCCCAAAGGCCTTCAAGAAGCCCAAAGGTTTTTTACACTTTGCTGCTCTTTGCGTTGTTTGCGCACTGTCTTACTTCCACATCTCAGCATATGTCATCCCAAGAGGAACATGAGGGAGAAACATGGCCAGTATTTTTTTTTATTAAGCTTTAGTTGAAATCAGCAGCATGTTCAGCTTTTGGATTAATCGTGTTTTTAAGGGCAAAAATATGCATAAATGTAGGGCACCGTGAGGTGCAGCTGTGAAGTGACTGATGGAGGCAGGGTGATGCAGGATTTCACGCCGTGCACCAAAACAGCCCTACAGATTTCTGTAATAACTCGATTCCGGAAAATGTGCTTGGCTCTGTGTTTCCGGGGACATGCCACCTAAACCCAGTCACTCTGGTCCCCGGAGTCGAGCCCGTAATTTACGCCTGTCACACGCGTCAAAATAACTTTAAATGAACACAACAACACAAATGAGGCTTTTCCACCGACCGCTGAGCGGTGGCGGCCAAATCTAGTTGACCTCACGGTGAATTCTCGGAGAAAACATAATGAGAACGTTCACTTTTTCTGATTTAGGCAGCGAATATTGTTGATCAGCTGATCCTGTTTTAATTAAAAATGTCTCATTTTTACCTGCTGATTTTGAGCAACGTGATGCCATCAGACTAGGCTTGCATGTACAATACTTGTCCTCAGTACAAGTCAGATTTCTTTTTACATCATTTAGTGAGTTGTATTTTTTTACACACTATTTTCCAAAAAAAACACGTTAATATGATTACGTATCTCACACAATTATTAAATACCTTAAGTTTAATTTATAGGACGAATTGTTATGAATTGTCGCATGGGACCAGGCAGAAGGGAGATAAACCTTATCATTTCCCAGCAGTCCCTGCGATGTGCTGCATTAAAATGGATACAAGCACCTCTGTGCCGAGGTGCTGACAACAGCTTCAGACTGTAATAAACTATGTAAGACCTTTCACATTGGCAGTGAGCACAGGCTTGATCATTCAACACTGAGCAATAGTCCGATTATCCAGTTGTGACTAATCTGTTCAATTAGGGACTGTAGGACAATGAGACCTTTTGGGGAGGGGAGTTTGAACCCTATTATGTTCACTGAACAATATAATACTCTCTCCACATGTATACAGAAATATCAGCCTATTTATACTTATATGTTAAAAACACCCACATAGTCACCAAGTCCCACATTAGAAGTACAATTAGCAATTTAAAAAAGTGATAAACTCAAAAAAGGTGCACCCTCTTCAATACAATTTCTAGCCTCTCTAATTATGTGTGACAAAAGTGATTACAACTGTCACTAAATGAGTAAAATAGGCTTGGGTGTTACGTCTGTGGGTGCTGAAAGGCTTTAACCCTTGTGTCACCCCACCCCTGATTCCAAATTATGTTGAATTAGATCAGATGACATTAGTTTGATGTGATCAGACTTCAGACTTTCTGTTATGGTTGGCTAAATGGGCCACAAACTCAAAGAAGGCAGGTGCACATCATTAAATATCAAAACCAACTTGAGCTCTTCAGCGACTTCTTCATTTTGGTGAGGGGACGAGTAAAAAGACCTTCCTTTAACAAATAAAATATACAACCCTCCCCTGCTCTCCCCTCGCCAGCCTAATTATTTACATACTTCATCTCTTAAAAGAGTTTAAACTTAATGAATGAGTAAATAAATACCAAATAAAATGCTTTTTCAAACAAATTTCACCTACCCTGGTGGCCTCTGCTTTTTTCCGGAACATTTCTTCCATCTTCACAGCCAGGTTTTTGACCAGTTTCATGCCATCGATTTCTTCCACCCTGACTGACTTTTCAGATTCTTTATATTTCTGCAAATGACCAGAAACATGTGTGGCACTGACAGAAAGGACAACTGTACATCTTACAGAAAGCACATCAAAGTCTTATAGCCACTGAACTCACATTGTCATAGAAATGTTCTCACTGCCTCAAATTTTCCACTTAACATTACAATAAAAGTGAAAACATTTTGATAATTATTTGTTTTCTGTCTGTGTATTCTGTAATATTTTGGGGGGTCTTCTGTTTCCCTGCATCCCAGAGTGGTGAGGAACTGTTAAACAAGGTTTCACGTGTGCGTTGACAAGCTGCATGCAGCCAGTCTCAGGTGAAAGGCTGATAAAATCCATGCTGCAACACAGAATGATTGATAGTCTTTATCTGGTCTCAGTCATTGGCTGCACATGCTGTTTCTTCCTCTCTCATTGGCTGGAGATGGCCATGTTGGGTGGCCAGGGTGGGGTGGGGTGGGGGGGCTGGGTCTGAAGGCTATGCATGGTAAGAGGGTAATTGAAATGGAGTCAAAGCACAGGAGAAAGATAATAACGTGTCAAGCTCGGCTGATTCTGGGTAATGAACTACACCTCACATTATGCTGATTCTGCTGGTAGCGCAGGCCCTCCGCTGATACAGAACAAAGCTCGGCACAGCTTGAAGGAATATAACATTACATAATCCCACTCCTGCCTAGCACACACACACTCATGCCAAATAAAAACAAAAGCCTGATCCTCTCACACCGTCTGGGCAGCAACATTGCACACACTACCAACAACCTTATCTAAAAGTAAATATTAGTAATGATAGGCTCATAGCACACATTAAACATTGTGTGGGCAGGACTCACAATAACATATACACACAGCAGTGCATGCAGTGACAAATAACCTACTGAAAGGAAGAGTGTGGGCTCGCGGTGGAGTAGAACAGTTCATTTCACGCCTGTCCTCCTCGCCTCAGCGCCCCAAGTCCCCAGTCCTCCCACCTCCTCCCCGCTCACACCCCTCCAGTCATCAAGTGGAGGTTAAGCCCCATCCATCAAAAGCACTGATCATGATCATGATTATTGATTAGTGCAATGACCAGTGCAGGAGTGAGGCCTGCCTTCAGGAAGCCCGTAGAGCCTCAGTGTTTCCCCATTTTGCAGAGATCTTACTGAAATCGAGTAACTCAAAATAAAAGCAGCTAATGATCAGCCTTAATGATCAGCCCCTAATGACCCGTCAGTTCTCTCACAGCTCACTGCTTTGTGCTGAGTGGCTCAGCACAGCTCTCTCCAGACATGCCTCCATGAACAGAAAGCAGGCAAAGTGCTTACATACACACAAAAAAGGAGCAAATTTGCAGGGCACACAGCAAAATCAAATGCATATTTGGTAACAAATGAAAGGATTCTTATCATATATCAAGAACGGTCACCTCAGGACAAGAAGCTCCTAGGCTTGGACCCTGGAGCCGCTTTCTGAATGCAGTTTGAACACTCTCTCCATGTTTGCGTGGATTTCCTCTGGGGGCTCCGCTTTCCTCCCACCCTCCGGGACATGAAGCGGAGCTTTTAGGATTAATCCTGCTGTTGCTCTTGACTGAGGCAGTGGCCTCGGAACTGGAGTTGGTCCCCGGACGTGGTGCTGTGATAGCCCAAAGCTCCTAACATAGTGAGGATGGGTCCGGTGCAAAGGATTAATACGTATAACAGGGATTCATGAAGTAACTTAACCTACAGTAAGAAAGTTAAGAGTTCATTGACCCAAATAAAACTACATGGCCTATTATTTAGAGTGCATGGCTAAAATAGCTGCTATGTACACTAAATGACCATAAAAATAGAAACTGCTATTTGGTGCAATAAACACAAATCTGACAATTGATTGTAGTTGTCAGGGTGCTGATGTGATGTTCTTGCACTGAAATGCATCATTAAAAGATGACTCCAGTGTCTTCCATGCTGTCAATGTAAATGTCATTTGACACCAAGTGCAGCTTCTGAACCTAGCTTCAAATTGAATCAATGTGCAGCTAAAACAGAAAAACTAAAACATCATAGGCAGTGCTCTATTTATTGCATAGTTACTGCATTAAAGTTGCATTAGAGTTTTTCATTTTGTGACCACTATAAAACACGACATATGATCATCTTTTAACTGTATAAATGTAAAATTAAAGGCAGAAAAATAGGTAAACATTATGTTCAACCTGATAAGGAAACAGTTTTATTGCTGAGTAGGCAGACATTTCAGTCTCAGGTCACTGAATTCACCAGCTATTTGCCTCTAACCTCAGCTGCTGGTAACTGGGTTTGCTATATGTGCATAAAACACCAGAGACCTTCTTGTGGGTCTATTTGTGCTGTGTGGCCAAGATTCAGACACAATTTCAATTCTAGTGCAGAATGAATATGTCAGGCTGTATTTTGGTGGAATACGCCTAAAATAATGGGCAGGATTTCCATTTATTGTTGGTGTAATAAAAAAACATGTGGTACACAGGGTTAAAAGATTTCATTTTGCCTAAGTATCTTTTTTTTGCCTAAGCACAGTAGTAGTAGCACAGTTTTCTATGCAGAAAACCAGAGGTAATAGCATCATTAGGCTTTATTGCCTTTTAAAATGCCAAAGAGTATTAATGTAATCTGCACAACAAGTAACCTTTATACATCAATATATAAATTTAACATGGGCAAAAGAGACTTAAACCACATCATACACATGCTGCTTATCTCCTGTAATTTCAGTGTAACATAATCATTCACATGAACCTCGCACACAGTGTGTGCTGTACGTACTGTAGCCCCGAACACACACTCCACACTGCAGTGCAGCTATTCAGCATTCACACAGAGGAGCTCCACCTCCAGCTGTTTACTCCACGCTCTCTGTGCTGGTCCTATTTAAGTGAAGCAGACAGTTCACCATTTATCCACCTGAGTCGACCCCGACTGCCTTTTTAAACGTGAACACAGAGTCCACCTCTGCCATCATGTGGTCGGAAAGTTTACTCTACTGCCCGGGATCATTGCTCATTCTCTGTAGTCTTCACTTGTTCATCACATAAACACCCACCCCGCTATCGAGCCCACCCACACAGTTTGTCTCCTTGTCGCATTCATATCCAGAGGTTTAAACTCTTGACTCCAGAGAGTTAACTGGAGAGATGAGATGAGAGAGGAATCAGAGCTGTGGTTAATGAGCTGTATCAAGTACAAACACAAATGCGTGCACGCACACACAAACACATACGCAGCTGCATTTCCATCACTTCAGGGGACATTATATTCATTTCCTGGAGATGTACCTTAACCTTAACCATAACCGTGACTTGCCTAAGCCTAACCCTCGCCCTAACTTAAACCAAGGCGTCACTCTAAAATTTAATCATTTGTGTTTTGGGGACCTGCTTTTGTCCCCATAAGGTCCCCACAAAATGACTGTGTAAACAGATTTATGTCCCCACAACACAATTTGTACCAGCCTACACACACACACAGACACACAGACACACCTGAGTCTCCTCTACACTAACACATCAGCATTCATCTGAGACACCAAAATGTCACTGCAGTTATTGGAGGGGGAATACACTATTACAGCAATAATGTGTGTTATTACATGGCCATCAGAAAAAAGGGAGAGAGCATTTGTACTCACACAAGACTGAGAAAGAAAAGAAAGCACACCTTTTGCAGTAGCTGGGATCCAGAATATTTGGCAGAAATGGATTTAATTTCTCCACCGAATGCTGAGGCCCAGAGCTTCACGCTAAAATAAATAGATAAATAAATTACATAAAAAAGAAAAAAGCCACTTTAGTCAACAGTGTCCCAAATACTATAGATAAATGAAGATTAAAATATAGAAAGAATGATATAAAAAGCAGAGAGACTGAATTAAACTAAAAAACATTTACATATTTCATACAAACATAAATATGGTATTGTGTCTGTTATGTCACCTGCTCCCTATTGAATATCACTGGCCTCTTCTCATCCCATCTGCTTTTAAATGCATGTTATATCTCCTCATCTGTTCTTTTCTTACTTCTTTTCTTGCACAATCAATCAAAAGAAAGCTGTCATGGCCCAGTGGCCCTGACCTTCACTCTCCTGACAGATGATTGCAAGTAATTTTGATGATCTATCCTGAAGCCTTTGCTATTAAACTGTAAATGAAGTTCGGTATCCAAAACGCTAAACAGAGGTGAATGTAACCATCCTACAAGAATGAATGATGTTTCAAGAAAGTCGCCTAATTTGTGCATTCAAAAAGTCAGTCAAAAGATATCGAAGTATTTTAAACAGTAATGGATTATGTGTTGCAGATGGGCTGTTCTCATACATAATCAACTTCCCCAAGAGATACTGCAGATTTTTCCCAAATGGCTTCTGAAAGAATTCCCAAAATGAAATAACATATTCTCAGTTGATGTTCTGTTTCCTGTTAGTTTGCAAAATCATGAATTTTTGATATAACATTGTGGCTTTTAAATGAAATAAACCATTTGGAGACCTTGCAGGAAAATGTCTTCATATTTTTAAAGGTGTTCCAATAGGGCTTTCTGACACCTTATTTTAGATAACAGCTCCCACAGAATAAAAAAAAAGAAAGATGTATGATTCACAGTCTTGGTAATTACTGTAGGGGGAACTATAGAAAACACAATACTGTAAAAAGGTTTCCCTAAAAAGGTGCAATTCACCAAGCTTCCCGCTTTGCTGCAGATAAAATCTGCCTTGAAAAGAAAAATGTGATTCAGTACATTCACACAGTCAGAAATGTCTGATCAGTTTGCTATTATATTTAGAGAGTAGGTAAATCTGTGATTACACCCATAAAGGCCTGCAGAATTGGGATTTAAACTATGACAATTTATACCAAAATGTGCATAAAACCAATCAACTAATTACATACTCTTCATAAATGTTAATTATTATACCTTCAGAAAGACAAAAAATATTATGATAGAAGATATAAGTGGTTTCTAAAGATTATTTTGTTTTAGGCTGAACAACAGTGGAGCCTAACTACCCCAGCACATGTTATTTCTGACTTAATGTAACTGTCATTTTATTGCATAAGGCAACTATAAGAACATAAGACAAAAAACTATGCAGCCCTAAATATAGTGTTCACCTCTTTGCTGGTGCAGTTTTGTCATCATGCTCTAATTTCTCCATCTGTGAATTTTTAATCATCCTAATTATTTCCTAAAATCACCTTTTTAGTGACACGTTTCCTCCCACCAGTATAACCAGTAAGTGCTGAGTTAAACCACTGTGTGTGGGTACACAAGCAGAGGACTGTGTTTAAATCAAAGTGTACATGATGACAATCACCAGGAGAACAGCCGAGACAAACAAGAAACCAGAGATCTGTCCAGTAATTTCACAATCTAAACTTTCTTAAATAAATTTAAATCTAAAAATGTCACTTTAAAAAATGGCGCACTCTTGGTGGCTGCATTTCCAGTTAGATATCAGCATATTAATGATTTCCATGTGATAATAAAGTTGCAGAGCAGCTTCTCACTCACACTGACAGAGGGATTCCTTGCTGGGACCCCGCAACCTCCAGCACATTCAAGCCGACGAAGATCCGGAGCAGAAGGAAGCTGGTGCTGCACGTGTGCGAGAACAGGATCCTCCAGATTCCCTGCATCTTCACTTCTGCTTAGAAAGCTTATACAACACACACACAGTAAAATCCCGTGCCAGCCCAGACTTCTGGACCTTGGTGCACCTTCTCCACCCGCGCTACTGCCAGCGCGCACTATTGTATTTTATCAGGGGGAGAGAGGGAGAGAGAGAGAGAGAGAGAGAGAGAGAGAGAGAGTCTGCCACAAAGCTCCACAGAAAAAGAAAAATCATGTGATAAACACAGAACTTTGGCTCTCCTCTGCGTTACTCTTGTCTGGAAACGGCACTGAACTGCTCTAAAGTCCTTGCATTTAACGCGGACGCTGCATAATATCGTACTGTACATGACTGACGTCGGCTACTGTAGCCTACTGTCCCTGATCTCCACGCTGCACACGCAAGGGTCTGCAAGCGCGCGTTTTTACAAATCTGAAATGTGATTATGTCGCCTAGTGCATGGCGGTTGTTTTGCAGAGCATGGAGATTTTAAAAAATGTCTGAAAACGTGTTTAAAGGGAGATTTCTAACAAAACGGCTCTGTGGGCGATAATGAAATTGCAGATATTTGATGAAGGCACTGTCACCGGGTTTGGGAACGTAAATGGTGAGGTCCCAACGCGCACTGGAAACGGCAGTGAATAAATCTTGGTGCAATATTGTAAACTTAGTTTATGATTGGCTCAAGTCTAATAACTAATCACTTTGACCAGTGACATCATGCCACTTTTCCACGTGGACCCCGGGGATCCGCAGTGATTAGCGCATCTTCATAACTGATGAGACAACCAGGCAAAGTTTTGGGCTGTGCGCCATTACTGATCAGTGTTTGCCATACAATGAAACCTGAAGATGTAGCCTACCAGTCACCCTATGGACGCTGATTAGAAAGCGATAATGATGTCAAAGAAGCAGGCGGGTTGATACACTACCCCCCAACACACACACACACACTCCTCCCGTACCATCATCACCACCACAAGAGCCATGTTTCGACTTGAAGCTTTTATTAGTTTAGTAATTGCATCGTACATCAAAGTTGTGAGGAGCCTGTACTGTCTGGGACGTGGCGATAAGGCGCCTGCATGCTGGCTGACGGACAATATCATCCAGTCTCTTCTCCGACCGACAGCGCTCAACAGCACCGCCTCCCTGGACGAATTTAATTAACTATCGACGGAAAACAGAAGCACTTCTCTGCCACAGTGCAGAAGAAAGTCCTCTGGTTTTGTTCAAGTCCTGCTGAGCAAGCAACGCGATACTTTGTCCAGGGCTGTTGCAGCAGTAGGTGTGAGGTTTTTAGACACAGCTGTCTCTCAACAGATTGAATTTCTTCAGTGTCATGACCTCCACCCACGCAGTATGTCAAATAAACACAATCAGGCCACTTCTGAACAAACAGTGTTTTAACAGTAAAATGGAAAGAGTTTACTAATTAAATGTTGTGCACTGCAGCATATGTACAGTATGTGCTGTATGTTCCACTGATACATTTAAGGTGAACTTTTAAGCTGTGTCCAGAGCTTTTGGCCACTGTCACACAAACTCAGTCAGGAAATGGACCTGAGATCTGTCAACATCTAAGCTCAGTAGCCATGTTAATCCGATGCACTTTGACGAGTTCTTGTCCACAATGGCTCTGTGTAAGACTTTGGAAATAGTAGCGTGACAAAACAACTGATAATCCATGTTTACTTGCTATTACTTGCTTTTTTCAGAACTTTCATCTAAAAAAAAGTCTCAGAAAAACTTTTAAATGTTGAAAGCTCCCAAAAAAAGATTTTAACAACAATGATTGAATGAAATGTAAACAGGTAAATCATATTCTGTTTTCACAATGTCAAGTGATTTGTAATTTCGAATGAATCAAAATTAAAGGTAATGTTTCACAGGCAAAGCTTTATAATCAGAGTCAGGCCGCTGGTGACCTCTATATCTCTGCACTTGTAAATTCTGTCTTGACTTGAATGGACATAAACCTTTTAGCAGGTTAAACATGGGACACCTCTTGTCAAGCTGCCTCGTTAAATCTCGGGGTTTAACCTCACCTCACTCCCTCAGCCGCGGGGAATAATTCAATTCGGATCCCCTCCAGCAGTCAACTTATACTCACCCACTGTTATATATTCACTTTTAGGGTCATATGACTAAGTGAACTGAGTACTTCATGCCTCAGTGAACCACATGTTGTTAATTGGTCTTAGACATGTAGAAACCTATTATCATAGTTAAATACTGTATCTATTATACTTTAATCCCTTATTTAAAAATGTGTTTAATATAGAAATGTACAGTGCAGTATACATGTACAGTACAATGTATAGTTAGTTCTTAATCCTGACTCCATTGATTTTATTTGATTGATTGACTCGATCCTTCAAACATAATCCCATACATACTACCTTATGTATAAGGTAATTAAAATTTTGAAGTATTTTACATACTGCTGGGAAGCTTGTGAATATTCCATGAAGGATCAGTAAAGTCTTGTGATTATCCTGTTTTACTGATCAAATTCTGATAAGTAACTTGAAATGTCGTGAAGTGAAGTTATGTAGTAGCAGAAAATGAAAATATTCAAGTACAGATACCTACAAGTTGTACTTAATCACAGAACATGAGTAAATGTACTTTGTTACTTTCCACCTCTGTAAGCAGCAACATGTTTAAACCTTTAACCTTCTAAGTTATTCTCCATGTCAGCTTTGAAAGTAAACCTCTTTCAAAGGCTGGTCAAAATGACCTGTGTTGACGAACAGAACGACTGGGAAAGTGGGAAAAGAACCAGAAATGCACAATCTCATCAATCAGTCTTTACTGTAGGTACACGCTGCCTGTTTAAGTGTGTTTACAATCAATCAAAAAGTGAGGGATCAAGGATCATCAGTGGAGGAATTGCATGTACTCTTTGTTAAGTCCAGATCTGGAGGATTTATTCTTAGACTTGAGGCATTTAATCTCAGCTGTCACACTCGAACAGTGAGATACTGAACATCTACAAGCTTCGGGGCAAGAAGAAGCTACCTGACCGCCTTTTAAAGCTTTGCATCCAACATGCAACAATCTGTCTTTTTATTGAATGCTTCATCCTACCTGGGCCCATGGGCAGAGCCACGCACCAGCTTCATCGTCCTTTCCATCATTATGACCATTTTCACTGGTCCTGCTACCAAACTCAACACTACAGTGATCACAATGTCCCT